TCATGTTCCCACCTGATCTTTTTATCATTGGTTTTATTATCTGTAAATTAGTCTTTTGTGATAGGAGTTCTTGGAATGTTATGAACACATTAATTATCCTATTTCTCCTTTGCAAAAATTCTGTAACCTGAAAAAGGTTTAGCATCACTGAGATGTCTCCTGTCTCAAAGTATCTTTATTGAATCTTACAATGCATTCATGCCCCACCTCTGTCACGGTCCCTAACCTTCACTAAGGCTCTCAGTGCTAACTTAGCTCTCTGGGTGTCCTGTATTTTCTTCAGATCCAGGCTCGAGTTCCAGAGTTCCAGCCACAAACGTTGATGGACTTTGGATCTGGCACTGGCTCTGTTGCCTGGTAAGTAACTTTCTTAATTAACCATTAATCATGTCAGTTCTAATTCTAGAGAGTCAGATTTCCTATACCACTGCAGTATCAAGAAACTGGGATACCGGAGAACAAGAAAATTAGACCTAAAATGTTGTTGCCCTTGGATTAGGCAAGGCAGAAGAATGTATTTGTGTTAGGGTCAGATTCAAAGCAGCCCACATGAAAAAGGCTCAGTACTTGGGTTAAAAGAGAAAGCAGTTTAGTGTAGGAATAGATAATCAGTTTTTTGAGTCATCTGCCTTTTATTTCAGAAGTTGTAAATGCACTAAGAACATAAAATAACACTGTTAACTTATCTGTTTTAATGCCCTGATTCCCCAGGGGTGGGATTGAGAGCAGGTGGGTCTTGACAGAACAACCTTGGGTACTCAGAGGTTAAGAGCACTGGCTGCTCTTCCAGGGGTTCTGAGTTCGATTCCCAGCAACCATAAGTTAGCTCATAACCATCTATGGTAACATTTGGTACCCTCTTCTAGCATGTAGGTACACATAATAAATAAATAAGTAAATAAAAGGAATGATCATGTGTCATAAAAATTGGTGGTTTTCATCTTGCCATCTCAGGGCTGCTCACAGTACTTGGGGCCAGAGCCTCCGTGAATATGTGTGTGTGGACAGTTCAGCTGCCATGTTGGGTTTGGCTGAAAAGCTACTGAAAGGTGAGACCAAGCTCTAATCCAGGGATTTCCAAAAGTTGAAGGAGTTGGGAAAGCATTTTATTGGGACGTAGAGGAGAAAGTTATAAATTAAGGTAATCTGGGTTTTTTCCAGTATTACAGTGAAACAGTGTTGGAGGCTTTTGTGGGACTCTGGTTGGATGGGGTTAGTAGGCCACCTCTTTAATATTCCCTTACAGTCCTGCACCTCTCAGCTGGTGTTATCTGAGGCATGTCTCTTAGTTGAGTGTAAACGTCTAGCTATAAAGCGCATGTTCACTCTCAGCTGTCGCATCTTTCTTCCATAGGTGGTTCAGAATCAGGGGAGCCCTGTATCCCAGGTGTCTTTTTCAGACAGTATCTACCTGTATCACCCAAGGCAAGTAGCAAGTAAGCTGTTCTCAGATATAGTGTGGCAGATGGGCAGCTGTGGTTTCAGCCTTGAGACCCACCATTGTGTATTAGAAGCCAAAAGAAGCAATAGAAGACATTTAAAACCTAGGCATCGTGGCACACACCCTTAATCTCAGGACTCAGGAGCTGAGGCAGGAGGATTACCATTTGTTCAGGTCCAACCTAGGTTACATAATGAGATGTCTTGGGGTCAGGAGGATTTAGAGGCTAGGAATTTGTTGTCAGGTCTGTTGTGTCCCTTGTCTTGGTCCTCAGGTCCAGTTTGATGTGGTTGTGTCAGCCTTCGCCCTCAGTGAACTACCCAGCAAGGCTGATCGAGTTGAGGTAGTTCAGAACTTGTGGCGGAAGACAAGCCATTTTCTGGTGAGTCGAAATCCTTTCCCCCTCAAGTTTTAAAGCATCGTTGTGGTTCATTGTCTTGTCCTCTCCTTATCACGCAGCGTTCTTCTCTTTTATAGCTCTCTGCACTTCCTTGGGGTGTCCATCTCCTTCACACAATGCCCACCTCCCTGCCGGTGCCCTGACAGGGCATCAGAGCACCTGCTTACTTCCTCTGTTTGTAAACAGGTGTTGGTGGAGAACGGAACAAAAGCTGGGCACCGTCTTCTTATGGATGCCAGGAACCTGGTCCTCCAGGTGAGGCTCCTTGTCCTCAGTCCTCCATCTTTCTGTCATAAGTTACTGTTCCTGCCTTGGAGCTGGTGACTGTCACATGTTGTAATGGTGACTCATGAAACAGGAAAGTAGTTGGCAAATGAGAGTTTCTAGGTCAAACCCAGCACAGTACCTGTTGCCCTGGGAGCAATGCATATTCATGTCTGTGATGCCACTCACCTCAGACATGGGTGTTGCTCGCTCCTTTCAAAAGCTACTTTGCTGACACCTGATGGAAGGTGTTGCTGACCCAAGGACTTTGTCACAATGAAACCGTGTGAGACAATATAGAATCCTAAATTTAATTATGTGAGAAAGGGTTTTTTGAGTGGAGGTTGCTGGTGGGAGAATGCAGTACCAAGTGCCAAGTCCCTGCCTTTCTGCCGTTGTTTGGCACATGAGAGCTGTAGCCAGCTCCATGAACGTGGTTTGTCAGTGTTAGCATTATCCTGACTTCTCAGTTCCCCATGTGCAGAGTTTGGATTATGAAGATAGATCCCACAGGGTCAGCTGTATTTCCTTGATTGCAGGAAAAAGAGAAGTCCCCTGACCTTCAGCCTGGCTTTGTCTTTGCCCCAGTAAGTACCACTCCCTCTGTTCTGTCATGTAGTCAGAAGCGCAAGAGGGTGACACTCGGCCTCACTCCTTTCCAGTGACCGCCATGCTTTCCCAGCCCCATGCTGCTGTGCTTCTGTCGACTCTTAAACTTTTACCTTTAAAGTCTTTATTTCTAGGTACTCTTAAATTTATTTTACTTTTCACTGTATGTATGATGAATATGTGTGTGCATGTGTACATGCTTCAGCGTGCTTGGAGAGATCAGAGGACAGCTTTGAGGAGTCTGCTCTCTCTTTCTCTGTGGAATTTAGGGCATCTAATTCGGGCCATTAGGTTGTATAGCGAGCACCTTTACCAGAAGGGCCTTTTGCACAGCCCCAGCACCATTGATGGGCCTTCTGTGTATTTGCAGTGTCCCCACGAGCTTCCTTGTCCTCAGCTGACAGCCTCCAAGTCCTTGGCCTGTAGCTTCTCCCAGGCTTACCATCCTATCCCCTTCAGCTGGGTATGTATTCTCAAGAGTATTGCAACAAGGAGAAATAGCCTGGGAAAACAGGATGGATGGATGGATGGATGGATGGATGGATGGATGGATGGATGGATGGATGGGGTATGTGCGTGCGTGCGTGCGTGCGTGCGTGCGTGCGTGCGTGCGTGCGTGCGTGCGTGCGTGCGTGCGTGTGTGTGTGTGTGTGTGTGTGTGTATAGAGAGAGAGGTGGGAAGAACTGGAAAATTCCTGGAGCTCTATGTGATTTCTAGAATATGAGAAAGGATGCATGTAAGGGGAAGGGTGCTAAGAGATTTGTTTCCTCTAAACAGTCCCCATATTCTTTTAGAATAAGAAGCCGAAAGAGGAAACATTCTCTGTAGTAATCCTTGCCAGGGGGTCACCAAAGGAGACTAATCGCTGGCCCCGTATCACTCAGCCTGTCCTTAAACGACCTCGCCATGTGCATTGTCACCTCTGTTGTCCAGATGGGAACATGCAGCACGCTGTGGTTACAGCCCGTCGGCATGGCAGGTATAGGAAATGTGACTGGTTGGGAAAATGTAACAAGAACCTGCAGCCCATGTTAATGGCTCTTTCCCATGCATGCCCTAGGGATTTGTATCGCTGTGCCCGAGTCAGCTCCTGGGGAGACCTTTTACCTGTGATTGACCCATCTGCGGTTCCTCTGTCCCCTGTTGAAGAACCCACCGAGAGTTGACAAGGATGTGTAACCAGTATTTCCTGCCATCACACCTGCCAAGGCCAAAGCTACCTGGTGTCCAGGAAGAGAGTGCTGGTACCCCTGTGCATGTAGTTGTTTGAAATTTTAATAATAAATATTTTAAGAACAGAAGTGAATTTTATGACTCTTTAAAGATACAGGAGTCAGTTGTCCTGGTCTACCTATAATGAAGAGACTGCTGAGAGCTCAGCTTCTGCCAGAGACACTTCCTTGAAAGATGGCTCAGGTGGTGGGGTAAGACACCTCAGGCCCTGTGAGAACTGGCTCAGCAGGTCTCAACCCGTGGTTATGTGGGCCTCATAAGTGGGAACTAGTAGTTAGCTGACTTCTTTACAAGGTAGCCCTCCCTGGAGTTTGCCTCCTTTTCCTCAAGGTCAGTCCCTTGAGAACTAAGCCTTCTATCTCCACCCTCATCTAGATCTGGTCAGAATGCTTCTGTTCCTTTAGATTGCTTCCATCTTCCTGTTTCCTTTCCAGAACAACCCCAGTCCTCAGCAGAAATGCTAACAAACCCCAAAACAGTCAGGAGGGTGGGTGAGGAAGGCAGGGCCACTCTCTCTGCCATAATTATGAGCTATAAAAGGAAGGGGGCAAGCTGGTGATTTCACAGGTTTTGATAAGAACCAGAGTTCTTAGATTTCTTGGCACTGATGGACATCTGGTGGACCATTGAGCAATGTGAGGTTCTGCACATCAAGTTTGTAAATTGTCCTGTATGACAAAAATGACAAGGTTAACAGTTGCTAATTATAGGAACAGCAAAAGGGGCATGCACAGCTTATCTTGACCAAAGGGAAGAAGCTGCTCTGCCTGGGCTTTTTTGTTTGTTTGAACTTTGTGGGTTTCTTTAAACTTTAGGGAAAGAGAAGTGTAAGAGAAAAAACAAGTGACAGTTTCACTGGTGGGGCTTCATTGCAGAAATGGCACAGTCAGAAGTGACAGGTGGGGCATAGTGGCCCATGCTTTTAATCACAGAACTGGAGAAACAGGCAGGTGAATCTCTGTGGGTTTATCAATGTCTTCCTGGTCTATATAGTTCCAGGCTAGTCAGGGCTATACAATGAGACCCTGTCTCAAAAAGAAAAAACAGAAAAGTGACAGTATCTATGTTGTAATACTAGCAATCTCCACTCCCGCCTGGAAATTTCCATGCCTGGAGCTATTTTCCTGGAATTAGAGGAAAGGGGAATCCCTTCACTTGCTAATTCCCACAGAAGAATAGCAGCCCTTTGCTCAGCCCCACCCCCTCTACCCTCAAGTGGCCCCAAATCCTCTCTGAAAGGGCTCAGTTCAAGTATCAGCATAGCTACCTGCAAGACTTGGGATAGGGTAGAGTGTGGAAGGGTTAGATTAAATGTCCTGACTGTGGTAGGACCAAATTACCCCACATATGAATTATCTAGGACGTAACTACCATAGATTGTCCCATTTGAGGTTAGATCAACCCCAGACATGAACTAAGATTCCTCAGAGCTCTTGGATTAGTCACAGCATTGAAGAGAAAACTTCACTGAGCTATACCCTGGCAGGGAGTCTGGAGTTTCTGGTTTGGAAGCTCAGGAAGGCGTGTGGCAGGGGAGGGGCCTCCAGATAGTGGGAGGGCTGGTGGCTGGGGTTGAGCCCTAGTCAGCTATGCGGCAGGCAGGGCTTTGTAAGCCCCGACCTTCCAGAACGAAGAGGACATCAGCAGTCTCCTGGAATTCACCCAAAGAAACACTCCACTTTGGACACCTCAACTGCGACAGGCTGCATTTGTCATTCTGAGGCTGCCGCTCATCCTACACCCCAAAGATGGAGGTACTGCTAGGAGTGAAAATTGGCTGCCTGCTTGCCCTTCTGGTTCTCACACTGGGCTGTGGCCTTGCTCCCATCTACTTCAAATGGTTCCAGATAGATGCAGCTACAGGTACAGCACGACTCCGTCCTTTATACCTTTATACCAAGGCTTATCTCAGACCTTTCCTGACATCTGGCTTGGGTTCACATGTGCCCCAAAGACATTGGGTGCCTTCTGTTGCTCTTCATTCATTCCCATTTATCTCATTGCTGAATGGAGAATAACTTTTGCTTTCTTCTTAGGCCATCACTACAGAGTTCTCAGCCTCCTGGGCTGCGTCTCTGCCGGTGTCTTTCTGGGAGCAGGGTTGATGCATATGACTGCTGAAGCTCTGGGGGAAATTGAATCAGAAATTCAGAAATTCATGGTGCAGGTGGGTAGCAGAGAAATCGAGTGACAGGGCTTTGGGGTCCGAATGATAACCAGAAGCTGGGGAAGATAGTGGGACAGCCGCTGAACACAGGGTGTGTGGGACAGCTGCTGTGGAAGGTGGTCAGGTTGGGCGTCCACGGAAAATTTGATTGCTGAAAGGCCAAGACAGGAGCTAGGTAGGGCTGCCCCAGACTTGGTTAATCTCTGTTTCTGTCTCCCTAGAATAGTACAGGAAGTAAGGGAAACTCTTCTCAGGATGCTGCTTCCAGCTACGTAAGTATCTGCTATTAGCGCCTGCCTGTCTGCAGAGTGAAGACAAGCAGGGTCTCCATGCCCTCTGATATGTGAGGAGTACCAGGGAATCTCTCCTCGGAAGGTGCCAGCCTAACCCTTTGTTTGTGGGTCCTCAGAAAATTTCTTGCCTTATTCTGTCCTTCCTACCTTGGAGCCTATTTATTTATGTATTTATTCCTTTGGTTTTTCGAGACAGGAGACAGGGTCTCTCTGTGGCTTCGGAGCCTGTCCTGGAACTAGCTCTTGTAGACCAGGTTGGTCTTGAACTCACAGAGATCCACCTGCGTCTGCCTCCCAAGTGCTGGGATTAAAGGCATGTGCCACTGCCGCCCAGCGAGCCTTTTTATTTCTAACCCAAGTGGCATTTTGACCCTCAGCCCCTCTCGTTTCTCACTTCTGCATGCCTACGCAGCCTCATCCCCTCTTTTGTCTCCTGGTCCCGTGCCCATCCAGTGTGCTGTCTCCTTCCCTTCCTGACTTCTGGCCCTTTTCTGTTCCTAGGTGGAGTATCCCTATGGAGAGCTCATCATCTCCCTGGGCTTTTTCTTTGTCTTCCTTCTGGAGTCGCTGGCATTGCAGTACTGTCATGGGGATGCTGGAGAGTCAACAGTGCAGGAAGAGGAATGGGGAGGGACTCATGCCTTCGAATTCCACAAGCACCCCCCTGTGCCCTCACGCCCACAGGGTCCCCTACGCACCCTCATCCTTCTGCTGTCACTGTCCTTTCACTCCGTGTTCGAAGGTCTAGCTGTGGGACTGCAGTCAACAGTGGCAGCCACTGTACAGCTCTGTGTTGCTGTTCTGGCTCACAAGGGGCTTATGGTGTTCAGTGTAGGCCTGCGGCTGCTGAAGATTAGCACTGGGTCACGGTGGGCCACACTCTGCATACTGTTATTAGCACTCATGTCTCCTGTGGGCCTAGCCCTAGGGCTGACTGTGGCTGGAGGTGCCTCAGGACCAGGGCAGGGATTAGCCCAGGCTATATTAGAGGGAATATCAGCTGGCACATTCCTGTATGTCACCTTTCTAGAAATTTTGCCACGGGAGCTGGCCTGTCCTGAGGCCCCTCTGGCCAAGTATGGCTGTGTGGCTGCTGGTTTTGCCTTCATGGCTCTTATTGCCTTGTGGGCCTGAGCGATTCCTCACTGCACTGATGGACCTGTCTAGGATGGCTGCTCCTGAGGACACCCCCTAAATGACTTTGGCCCTCAGACATTTTTTTTTTTTTTCAGTGAGACTAAGCATTTACTGGGCACAGACTATCCCAGATTTTCTTGTTCAAGACTTAGAAAGGATGTTTTAAGTGTCTGTTTAACTAGAAAATTGGTATCAAGACCATCACTCCAGAATTGCTAGTATGTGTAATAGAATACCCATTTGACCCTTTCCCTTCAACCACATTGTAATTTATGTCTCTGATGAGGAAAAGGGGGTGTGGCTGGAATTGGGATCGTAGTCATTTTAGAGGTTCGGGCCATTCCGCCAGACATAGACAACCCTTTGTTGCCTGACCCTCAGGAGCTGAGAAATAGAGCACCATTTGGAAGGAGAAGGACATTTAATAACAGAAACCAGGGCTAGATCTTTTTCCTTCACTAACTACCTCACCCCACTCTCAGAACCTGCCATTTCACACTAAGTCTGGTGCAGCCTCGGGGACACCATTGCTACCCTTTGGGCTTCTCTTTCTGGCTACCACAGGCTGAAGGATTAAAACCCAGTGTTTGTAGAGGGGAGCCAGCGCCAGATAAATACCTCCGGTGAGTACTCTGAGGTGTAACCACCTAATGACTTCCCTTCCGCCTGCCGGACCAACCGCTACTAAGGACAGCTCTGGTGGAATTGAGGAGGGACAGGGTAACTGCTCCCCTGCCCTTGCCTAGTTGGAGCATCTCACACTTGGTGAAAAAATAGAGGAAAGATGCGCCCTGGAGCTCACTCGCCCTCACCAGTGTGCCCCTTCTTGTGATTTTCAGTGTGATAACCCAAACAGCTTTAACATGAACAAACTCCTGAATGGTTCTTGCCTCAGTCTTTGTCTCCTTCCCGCCATATTCCCTTCCTGGAAAAGTAAGAAATCTAAGTCAGGTCTCACAACAGGGAATGGTGAGAAAGCCGCAGTGGGCAGAAACAGGAGTGGGGGAGGAGAAATGCCCTCCCCTGGAGCACTGTCGTGTTGCGCTTCTCAGCATTAGATGCAGGAAGTAAGGTGCGCCGGAGAACCTGGGGTTACCGATAGCACTGGCTCCGGCGGGGACACCTGCAGTGTGACAGGTGCTGTGCTGCTGTTTGTACACACACACCTCACTTGCACAACTGTGGCAGTGACGTTATCCCTGTAATAACCTAAGAAAACTGGCATTCAGAAGTTAGTTTGATCAGTTATCCAACAGGGCCTCTAAAGTCACTTTCCTATAACTGTATGAAAAGCTCCGTAAAGAGTCTTTCCTTCTTTGTTTTCCCTTCCCAACACCCTTGTTCACCCTGTATGTTAGAATCTCAGATCAGCTCAGAGAGTGTACAGCATAACTGGGGAAACATGAATGGGAGGGTATTCAGGAAGGTGTGTGTGGGCAGGGTGCAGACAAAGCAAGGAACGTGCAATACCCAGGGGCTGAGTAATCAGCTTGCTGTTAGTAGAAACTAGAAAGGACCGGCCCAGAGAGCTCTGTCCTTGATCTACAGGGACCCAACAAGGAAGGTGCTAAGATAATCTTATTTTCTTGCTCTGATTTGCTAATGCTTATTGAGCAAAACCAAACAGAAGCTGGAGGCTACAAATGGCTTGTCGGGTTCTGTGGACTGGTCAAGCCACCTGGGCACAGAGCTGTCCTGTACGTCATCCATGCCCTGCTATGCTTACATTAATATGATCTTGTCAGAACTTTGGCAGGGTGAATTGAAAGAGCTGTGGTTGTATGGAAGCTAGGGAATTGTCCCTATCACAGAAGCGTGTCTAACTATGAAAGGAACTGAAGGAGGAGCACCCTGGCCTGCTGTGCCTCTCCCCATATTTCTGGATCACTGGTGCCATCAGCATTTGAGGCAGACGAGGTAGAGTTTGGTACCTCAAGCCGCTGTTGAGTCGTGAACTCTGTCCTTGTCCATCCCAGGAACTCTGGACTCTCCTTTGACTTCCTCCCCAAAGCCACCAACACTTTCTTTGCTCCCCATATCTATTTCCTTCTTTTTCCCCAAATTCTTACCACCCGGGGCCAGATGTGTGTTGAGTTTGGAGAATATTGTCAAGAGCAGACAAAAAGCTAGAAGGTGGCAACATCTGGAGAACACCAGGGAGAGCGTCTGAACCAGAAGAAGGACAGACTGCTTTCAGAAACACAAATGAAAACAACATGGAATAGGAACTGGAACTGGCCTAAGAACCATGGTGGGAAAGAAGGGAGGCAGCTGGGACCGGCTGGGGCAGCCGTAAGCAGATGGCCAGAACGATGAGACTGGAAAACATGAAGAAAGGTGATCCAGGCTAGTGGGATAATCAGGAATGTGTGACAATTTTCACATCACATCTTCCTGTGATGATGTAAAAACACAGGAAGTTTTCTCTGGGGCCACATAGGAGTGGCTGTGACCCAGAAAAGGTCAAGGTTGCTCCACATTCCATGTTCCACCATGGTGACAGCTTTGTGAAGTTCATAGTTGCTTTTGTTTGGGTCAGTTGGTTTTTGTTTTGTTTTGCGGGTTTTGGTTTTGGTTTGGATTGTTTTTTATTTGTTCATTTTTGAGTCAGAGACTCTTTACATAACCTTTACTAGACTGGAACTCACTGTATAGACGAGGCTGGCCTCAAACTCAAAAGACATCCATCCATCTGCCTCTGCCTCCCAAATACTGGAATTAAAGGTGTGAAAAACCAAGCCTAGCATTCATCATTGTTTTGTTTTGTTTTTTTAATAATAATAGGACAAAGTCAAAGATCAAAGCTTCAAAGGCATCAGATGCTGTTTGATGACATTCTTAGTTTTCAGGGTTAATAAAAGCTAATCTATTAAATCATCCTAAAAGATATTATCTAGTAGTCAGAAAGATGTCAAGTCAGACACAAAGGCAGGTCATGAATGGCTATTTAAGTGGCTAAAGATAGCTGAAGATAGACTGCGATTAAGCACCAGACCTGCAACATTCCAACTTGACAACCATTTAAGTTTAATCAGCCCATCACCCTCAGAGAATGTTCAGTGTGTAAACTTCTTTCTAGGAACTTTAGTTAACACCTGTCACCTTCCCCATCTCTCACAGTCACTCCCTCATATATTTTGTGTATACCTAGGAAGGAAACTCAAGAATTAGACTTCCAACAGACCTCCTGTAAAGGATCAGCTTTCTATTTCTTCTACCAATAAGCTGTCTTCTGAAGGGACCTTTCTGGGGGTGTTCCTGCCTCTCCTTTGCTTTGAGGCTGGGGGGGGGGGTGTAGATAGGTTTGGTTTGGTTGAGATGTTGTAGTCACAAGAAGATAGTTTGTGAAGAACACAAGAGAAACTGTAGTTCAGAGAATTTACTGGGACAGGGCAGGTCCTCAGGAATCAACATGTTTGACAGATGCTTACCCGGTGTGCATAAGGGCCTGGGTTTGATCCCCAAAGCCACAGAGAGAGAGGGATGAGCTAAAACCCCATAATCACTCTGCTGGGGTAGCCTGTGCCGCTTGGTCCTTCCCTGAAGAAGTTTTGGAGTATCTTGCCTCCCTCACTACAGAAAATACTCCCTTCCAGAATTTATGGGATGTGTGTGTGTGGACACCCTCTAGTTCCCTAGCTGACCTGAGGAGAGTGCATTGCCATTAGCACTTGAGAGGGGCAATCTGTGGGGATGCTTACAAAATCCTAGCTAGAGAATAGGTTTTTGGTTTGTGTTCTTAGTGACTCTCCCTTGTCATATGTCAAACACAGAGTGTGCCCTACATTTCCCATGGACTCATCATTAGAGTCTGCTGGCAGAGAGATCTGGTAAATATAAGCTACATGGCTCTGGGTACCATATTTCCTCACCAAACCCTGAGCCTCAGGTCAGAAGTCTTTTCCAGTTATTCCTAAATCTCTTTTTTAAAGTGATGTCTCCCACTCCCATATTTCCCCTTTCAGCCTATTTGTTTCTCCTGATCCTTATTAACCTCAATAGACCATATTTTTACTTCTACCTTGCCTGCTGTAATGTCACTATTTTGTTGGTATAACCATTTATTTATTTATTGGAGCAGGGTTTCTTTGTGCAGCTTTGTAAACCAGGCTGGCTTTGAACTCACAAAGATCCGCCTGCCTCTACCTCCTGAGTGTTAGGATCAAAGGCGTGCACCACGGCCCAGCTTTGTTGGTATAGTGATATATTGCTTAAAGATGGGGATATGTTCTGAAAAACATACATTAGGTGATTTTTGTTTGTATGTTTTATTGTTGCAAAACATTTGAGAGTGTGCTATACAAACCAAGAAAGCTCTGGTGTCTGTAAGGAAAAGGACCTATGAGACCATCACCACATATACAGATGTATATATTGGGCAGGCCAAAATATCCTTATGAAGTTCCCAATTGTTACTTGAAAAATTTCTATGAGATCCAGGGTATTTTTTGGTTTTGTTTTTTTTTTTTTTTTTTTTTTTTGGGGGGGGGGGGGGGTTTGGTGGAGTTTTGTTTTTGTTTGTTTGTTTGGTTAATTGATTGGTTTCTTTGTCCTGGAGCTCATTCTGTAGACCAGGCTGGCCTTGAACTCAGAGATCCACCTGCCTCTGCCTCCTGAACACTGGGATTAAATAAAGGTGTGTGCTACTGCCCTGCCCTGTTTTTTTTGTTTTTTTTTTTTTTTATTGAACTGTGAGGCTCTTTTTCACTGTTCTGATTTCTCTCATTCCCATTGAGTAGTCTCTTACTTAACTGGCCCCTAAAGTCTGGAGTACACTCATTCCTTGGGAATAAAATGACATTCAAACAGAAATCCTAAACCTAAAGAGGAGAGAGTAAGCAGGGAATTATGGCTTTGTTCTGTGCACACACGGAGCTTCTGAGTTCTTAGCAGGGCCTTGATTTCAGGACAGCCTTATGTTCCACAGTGAAGAACAATGGGCCTGTAAGACCAGGAAACCCAGGGTCCAGGTAAAGGGATGAAGGATCCTGCTGACCACAGGGGGGCACTGTGTCTCCATGGGTGAAGTAGGATATGTAGAGCCAAAAAATAGGGTCAATCTAGGACAGCAGATGCTACTCCACCCCACCCCCCACCACAACCTCCCCCCCCCCCCAGTTCCCGCAAAACATCTTTTCTCCTACCTTAGATTTCTGGAACAAAAACTCCAATAGTTTGTATCCAAATACAGTGCATTTAATAAAATTTGTCTCCAGTTGTAAAAATTTTTCTAATGACCTTTGTAGGCGGGTACTAAGAAAGATCTAACCTCCCTTCCATAATACACAACAGTAGCTGCACCAGTAA